CATAAAAGTCCGTTCATCATCAGACTGGGGTAACCAAGGTCGAATGTACAGCAGATGTGAAAGTGGAAACTGGTTCTTGTGCCCCTTGGCCTCCTCAGAGTTGATGGTATAAAAGACAGAAAAAGTGAGAATGCCAAAGAAATGCAGTGTTCTCTGCCTGTATCATTCATCCATCTGTTCTTTCAGTTGGAGGAATGTGAGTATTTACTATAAAGAGACTTGACATTTTAGCGTATGCTAGGAGTAAAAAACTCACTCTTCAATATGTCTTTTGGGTAGCTAGACGTTTAGGGAGATGGGACTGGTGAAGATGAGTGATACAAATAGATATGTTGATTCTTAAAATATCACTTGAAGCATCTAAAAGGTTGAAAGTCCTGAGCTCACCGCTGAACATGTCTCAGTGGCAGAGAAATAACATGTGACCTCAACCCTCAGTGACAGAAAAATAAGTGCAAAAAGGCAAACATATCCAAGAAGTGCAGAAGTGGTGTGGGAGAGTGAAAGATCTGAAGGTAGTTAGCCAGCCTTTGGAGTAAGTGGTCTTGAGTGCTGCATCTCTTCTCCACGTGACCTCAGAAATGATTCAAGATGATTCAAGAATGAGCAGCTTAGGGACACAGCAGTCTTATTGGCAATTTCAGTTCCCGACGGTCAACCATTATTTGAAAAGAGTAAATTGAAAATCCCACGAGCAAATGGTCCATGTCATTCAGAACAGCATGATTGAGTCTCCTAACATTCTGCTCGTTCTTTGTTCAGCATCCGTTTTGTATGTACGACCTGCCTGTTAGTCACTCGGTAGCCGTCTATTATCAGATCAGTTGTGGTAGTATCTCCCTGTGTTCAAGTAACTCTTACTTATTTTTTACTGGCTTCAAGGCACAAGAGAAATAATGCTGCCAATTTAGATTGGCCAAAGAGAAGCTAAAAGGTGCTTGCCTTAAATGAAGTGGTGAACGTTTATCATAGGTATGTGTATGTAGGAAAACTACATTATACTTAGGACTCAGTGTTAGCCATGGTTTCTGGCAGGCTTTAGGGACTTTAGAACATATGTTCTACAGATAAGGGAGGCTTCTGGGCATGGAACTAAGGGATGCCTTAGATGGGAAGGTCAGGAGCACATGCTGCGGGGTGGTTAGGTGGCAGCAGGACATACAGTGGGATAGGACCAATGTCCTTCAATGAAACTCTGCACTTTCTCTATAAAGAAAACCATATTGGTAAAATTTTAGGAAGAATGATAGATTTTATCTGTGTCTACACGTTAAACAAGTACCAGAAATAAAGTTACAAGTTAAATACTTTCATGAAGTCTTAACTCAGTGACTGTTGATGTTTTGTGAGAGGTTTATCTCCATGAGAAAACTTCAGGACATTTTCTCCAGCATAAACTACAAATTGTTGTTAGAAATCATAATATATTAACCTATTACTAGCTTGATTACAGATGATGTTTCTATGATCCTTCATTATGAAAACACTTTTTTTTTACCTATTTTCTTTCATCTCAGACTCTAGGGAACTAAAATTTGGAGAAATTGTTTTGCTCATTTTAGAGAAAAGAACCTCTGAAGTCCGACTTGGTCTTAATCCTCTCTTCTTTAATGCTTACATGTGATGAGAGCTATGCTATGTTCTTTAGATATTATCTCACTTAATCTATGATTAAACAATGTGTTAGTTAATATCCCCATCTCCTCTGGTCCTAAGATACCACAAGCTGAGATCTGATCGATTCTAAAGCCCACAGCTTGAAAACTCTAAAATTTACTGAGCACATAGCTTACCAAGCTCTCTGAGCTTCAAGTAGAAATAGCCTGCTTGTATTTGTTTTCTCCCTGTAATTCTAATATGTACTTCTAATATAATGAATATTCAATCTTATTAAGTCATTGTAAATCATAAACTGCATGTTATTTTGTAGTTGTATTTCATAACATATTTTGTATTTGCATCATATTACAAATGTGCTAAAATAGTCCAAACATGTAATTCTGACGTTTCTGGAAATTCTTGCAGGCCTTAATGTTTTAGCCACTATAATGCCTTTATTATCCCTTTGTGTACTTAGTAAGATAAATGGAAAAAAATCACAGGGAATTGCTTAGTTATAATTAAACCAGTATTGACAAGTAAATTTGCATTGAAACATTAGTGTTCCATTTAATTCAACAAGTTTATATTGAGCACTTACCATGTAGGATGGTCGCTCCCACACAAAGATAAGTAGAAACTCCCCCCTTTAGGAATTCATAGTCCTTCTTTAGGGGATTATATTGAGTAAATCCTAGAACTCTTGAAAGGGATTATAAGGATTCCTATTTAGGGATTATGTTGAATAAAAGTGAGTGCTCTTAAAAAGAGATTATTAAGATTCTGAAGCATGATTTCTCTTCACCATTAGGGAAAAGACATCAGAAGAAAAATGTAGATTGAGTTGTGTACTCATAAAATTGTGACCCAAAACAGGATATAAAAGTTACTGGGAAAGAAGAAAAACAAGTTTAGAGAAGCATCATCAGGGTACTGTCCTATCATACTGGAATGGAAGGATTTGCAGACCTGAAGACCTCCGTGATGCCTGAGATGAGCCTTAGTGGACAGAGAGGGATCCAGATCCATCTGGAGAAAGGGCATGCCTACACCAAGTGAATATGGTAGGATATAGCAGGTAGGGTATTTAGGAACACAGAAAGAATGAAGCTGAAAAGTAGTCTTTTAGTGTAAGAAACTTCAAGTGCTGGAGTGAAGTCTGTGATGGTCATTGCGATAGAGTAAAAGCCAAATACTAGGCCGGGAAGTTGGGAAATGAATATATGGCCAAACTTCAACTGTTGCGTTTATCCACTCAGTAACCTTGGGCAAATCAGTTCATCCTTTTCAGCATCCACTCTCCTTCACCTCTAAAACAGAGGTGGTGATTCAAGGTTGGATATAAATAAGAAAACTGCAAGAGCCAAGAAGTACCAGCACCTTTGTGGTGGTCATCATCACCATCATCATTGTGTGTATAATGATGATGAATGAAGACTTGGGAACAGTGAAGTGGTGGCACCAGTGTAGCCCACAGACAGATAATAGAAGGAGGAGAACCAATTAGAAGGTTGTTGAAGTGATCTAGGCTAAAACATCATGAAGGTGGAGTGAAAATGGCAGTCAGGTGGTAGAGGTACTCCAACTTGGTATTTTCCAAGGAAGTACCAAATGCACTCTGGCTATACTATTAAATTAGGTTCTAGGGCCAACCAAATTTATGTATTCATAGGTCTTAAGGGGCCAATAAAAAATAGAGAAAGGACACAGTTTTACAAGCAAGTAACCGCCATAGAGGGAGCAGGTGTTCTAATAAAGACAGTAGAAGGTAGATATGACACAAAGGTACAGTCAAAAGTAGCTTCATAGAAAATGGAGTGGAACTGGGTTCTGACAGATGACTGTAAACAAGAGGGTGTTGGCAGATGCTACTGGCATGGACGAACCATGGTGCTTTGAGGGGTCTCAGTGTAGGGCATCTCTCTTCTCCCTCTCTCTGTTTCCCTCCCTCGCTTCCCTTTTTCCCCCTCCCCTTCAAATCAATTAGACCAATAAAAATGTGAAACACAGAGCCATTGATCTCATTGATAGCATACCCATTTAAAGACAGATACTTCCCTGAACAACAGTCATGCTAGCTCTGCATTACAGCCTGCTCGAAAGGGACAGTGGGAGAGATGTAAAGGGCACTGACTCTGCCTCTACTTTCCAGGAGGAAGGTGGCATGGTGAATGCACAGTGAAGAGAGCCCCTTGGATGCCTCTTTTCCACCTTCCATTCTGACACCTCTGCCATAGTGAGGCCTCTCTTCCAGCTTAGGGGAAGTGTAGCTCACCTGGCATCTGAGTGATTATTGCATGTTGAGCTCCAGCACTGTTCTTCAAACTGGGATATCAAAATGGTGCCATTCTCATTCATATGATTCGTTTTCTCGCTTCTCCATGGGTTACCAACCACAGTGGATTTAGAGAGACTTATTCTCTATCACTAATAGTATAAGTAATTTATTAAAATCTCAAAGCCAAAACATTCTGTGCAGTTTTTTCCTGAGACACCTGTAGATTTTGTGTGGTCAAGCCTGAGTCCCTTTGTAAAGCATTTTCCATAGACCTTTCACCCTCCAGTTGTCCCTTTACTCAGTGGCTTAAACGAAGTTAAAAATATGTCACCCTGGTAGAACAGGGGGATAGTCATGGAACCAAAAATTGGTGAATTTAGGAAAATAAATCCTAAGAGTGGGTTTCACATCCTGTTTTTAAATAGCTCCCTTTCCTCTCTTATTCATTCCTATCCTTTTTGTGCCTTAACGCAGAATGCTTTCATAGCTGCTTTATATTTTTTGGCTTTGATATAAAACAACCCCCCCAACTGAATGAATTACCGCAGAACCCCCAAACTCAGTCCCCTGTCCTGATTTGCAGAAAACCAATCGCTGATGTTAGGGTGGTAGAAGCCTTGGTTGCAGTGTCCAGAGCAAGGAGCCAGTCAGCTATGGCCTAATTCATAGGTTCCCCAAGAGGTGAGCTGAAGGTCCTTAGGGAATGAAGATGGAGCTGAGAGAGGTGCCTGCCTGGGTCCCTGGTTGGTCTCAGTGTTCTTGGTCCTCCTCCTATCGGTCAGCAATATTGTATGCCTTAGGGAATGTTAATGATGGCCAAGTGGGCTCCAGCCAGTCTCGGGGCTACTCCTTGCTTAGGAACTAGGGTTCCCTGAAAAGAAGCCCCTTAAGACAAGGTGGAACATCGAGAGGTCATCTATAGGAAAAATCAGTTCTGACAGTTAGAACCTTGCAGGGCACGTGATTAAGCCACACCACTCACTTCATTCAGGGGTTAATTTGAGCACGGGACCAGATGGTATTTCGCATCTGCACTCAGGGCACTGCATAGGGGCTTGGTTTCAACTTGAGGTGCTCTCAATATCACAATATTGCTTATTTTTGTCCCCCTTCCCCACTTTAGGAGATGACCTGGCTCCCCCCACTTTCTGCTATTCAAGCACCTGGCAAAGTGGAACAAAGCAAATTTCCATTTCCAAATAAGGTGAGCTTCTGCATCACTCAGGGAAACAACCCTGAACTCGTGGAGACCCTTGTAGTGGATGGGGTTGACCTGGACTTGGTTTTTCTCTGTGCACGATCCACTCAGAGGCATTTGAACCATACCACAACACTTGAAAGCAAGCAGTCATTCTTCAGAGCAGGAGAATGAAGACTGTAGTCTTACTTCCTTGACTTTTCATCCCCCTCTGTCAGTTGCCATATTTAATCTGATAGTCATTTTACCTAACTACATTTATAGAGTTGAAATGGACCTTACAATAATTTGCTGCATCCAGTGGAATTGAATGTCCTGTTTCTTTCCTGGTGGAGGGGCGGGGGGAGGAGGGAGGAGTGATTAGATTATTGAAATATGTTTAAAAATGAATGTCTTACAAATAAAGGCATGTAATAAGTAGTATTTTATTTCTTTTGGATATCTTTTAAGCTGAAAATATTTTCTATGACTTAAAAAATTTTGTATTTTCTAAGAAAAAAAACCACCAGAAAACCAGCCATGACCTGTATGTATAATACACACAAGAATAGTGGGCTTTCATTTCTTTTTACCCTACTACTGATACATAATTACATACTCATTATAAAGAATCAGATTATGGAAGTGGATAGATAGCAAAATATGAAGTCTGTGGCCACCAGGGCCAAATTTTATTTACCTGCCCAGGGATTACTATCAAGACTTGGTCAGCCCCATTTGAGGCATTTGTCCTGTGCATCCTGGGCAGACATGTGCATATTCAGTTTGTTAAGTTTCCAAGCTCAGTTATTGAAACAAGCGTTCATTATTGGTATTACAGTGATAAATTCCGTGCTAAGAGTTGATTTCCCTCAACAACGTGTATTTGGAGATCTTTCCAAGTGATTTTCTGAATCCTTCTAAACAAGAAAATAGGGTGTGGTAGAGATTCACTGTGCTTAGTCTTTTGAGCTCCTTTTGATGGCTGTTGAGACTGTTTTGCTTGTTATCACGCATTCTAACACAATGTTTGTAAATTCCTTGAGTGCCTCTGATATGGCACCCAGAATAGGAATTGTGCTATTGGAGGTATCAGAAACCACAGGTGTCCTTGGCTGTGCTGACAAGGATCCTGCATATACCTCAACCAGTGATTAATATTACCTGCTATTTGAATTTATTAAATCTGTGTGGTGGATGAAAAATTTATCACATCATTTCAATTTGCATCTCCCCAGTTACTCCTAAGATTAGCGTTGACCATTTCATATCTGTTGCCACTTTAAAGAAGTGATTTATAGGAACTTGCATCTTATTCATCTGTCTGTTGTATGTGATGTATGTTTATCTATATGGTGTACACATGGATTCGTCATATACAATGTGTATGATGTGTGCATATATCATGCACATATTTTTAGTATAATCTTATTTTTTGCCGTTAAAACTAGTGAAATGCTTGGTTTCCTATCACACATAGAAAATCTTAATGCTAATAGTGTTTTCTCATTTATTTTAACAATTTTACAATATTGTTTTAGGCTTTTTTAAGATTTATTTTATTTTTATTACAAAGTTAGATATACACAGAGGAGGGGAGACAGAGAGGAAGATCTTTCATCCGATAATTTACTCCCCAAGCAACCACAATGGTCGGAGCTGAGCTGATTCAATGCCAGGAGCCCGCAGCTTCTTCTGAGCCTCCCATGCAGGTGCAGGGTACCAAGGCTTTGGGTCACCGTTGGCTGCTTTCCCAGGCTACAAGCAGGGAGTTGGATGGGAAATGGGGCTGCCAGGATTAGAACCAACACCCATAGGGGATCCCAGCATGTGCAAGGTGAGGACTTGTGCCACTAGGTTACTGTCCTGGGCTCTGCTTTAGGCTTTTAGAGATTTTCTGAGGATGATATGATTAAGAATTCAGTTTTATTCTTTTCATGTAAAATTTTGTAACATCATCAACATGTTAGCCCCTTTTTATCCTACTGGGTTAAAATATGACCAGTTCAAGAGCAGAGTGTCTCAGAAATACATAGATTGTTTGAGAACACTCCATCCTCTTTTCCAACATATGTGTGTTTTAACTCTTTCCCAATACCTTGCTGTGTGATCAGAGGTCAGCACATGTTTTCAGGAAAGATAACAGAGAGTAAGTGGTTTGGGCTTTGCAAACAGTTCTGAATGAAGGACTGTGGCAGTTCATTGGTGCCATCCCAACCTGAAGCCTCCAGGCCTCCAGCCTCCCTTGGCCCAGGGAAATCAAAGTGGATGGTTCCTTCAGCGTGGATTCCCTAGTGGCAGCCGAGCAGAACAAAACACAGAATCCTTACCATCCCCTGGCATGTACTGTGCCCCAGTAATGAATTTGTATATGCAAATCAGCACCTTTGTTACATATCCATATTCAAAGTGTAAGTTCGAAGTTCCAGATGTAGGGGGTGACTTTTTCAAATTTTTGTTTTATTTCATGTCCATATTTAAGTGTATATACATATTATGGTTTATCCCCTGGAAAGATATAGAGACTGTGAATCATTTGGGGGAACAAAACAAAGTAAAAACCTGCATTTTTTGTTTGCTTTATTGAGATAAAATTAGTAAAAATTACATGTATTTGAGGTGGGCTACTATAGTGAAGCTAATTAGTGTATCTTTCACCTCGCATCAATAACCCTTCTTTGTGTGATATTACGTCTCCAAGGTTCGGCACTGTGTACAACATCATGTATAATTCTCGTGCATCATGCTCTGTCATATTTACATGGCACTCCTTGTCAATACACCTTGTGGTTCGTAGTTACAAAGAGCGAGCGTCGGTGTTACAGATTTGCAATCCTGATGGGTTCTCGTATCTATAGTGCTGAGCTAAGTAGAATAAACTAGACACCGAAGTTAAATACTGTGTGATTGTGCTGTAGAATCTGAAGTTTGTGTATTCTAAAATTCACAGAAGCAAAAAATAGAGAGGTAATTACCAGGAACTGGAGAGGGACTGAGGATGTAGTCAAGCCCTCGTTTCAGTTATATAACAAGAAATTCTGCACATGCAGTGTATACAAACATCTACAATTAGAAATCTCAATTGTTAAAACATAAATTTAACAGTGTCTTATTTATTGCTCAAAACATACAGTATTATGTAATTTGAATACAAATGAAAAATATTTACTGTTTAGAACTGCTGCAGGAATTGCGTGTAGCCATTTCTGGTTGCTTTTCCTAGGAAGAATAAGGGATTTTACAATGTGCAGGAACACTGTAGGATTTTACTAATCTTTCTTTGTAGAAAGATCACAGTAAGTACTGACAGATGAAATAAGATCATGCTAGGTCCCTTTCTAGAGTAACACATTGTCACAAGCTTAGTGACTTTGGACAACATTCCTGTATTGTCTTCCAGGTCTGGCTGCACAGACCTCAAGGGCGGGAAACGAAGGTGTGTGTGGGGCTGTGCTCCTTCTCAAAGCTCTGGGCAAGATGCCTTCGCTCGCCCTTCTCTGCTGCCATGGGCTGTTCTCGTCCATTAACTCATACCACTCGGCAGCTTTGGATTCTGCTCCCTGTGTCCTGTCTCCTCTCTACCTTGGGAGAACCCGTAGGATTGTGTGGGGTCTACCCGCTTCCCAGTCATTACTTTTAAGTATCACCTTATTTGAAATGCAGAATGACACAGGGAGAGAAAGAAAACCTCTAACTGAAGATTCATTCCTCAAGTAGCCATAAGGGTTAGGGGCTAGTCAGGGACTCTGTTCAGACTCCTACATGGATAGAAGAAGTGCAGGTGCTAAGCATCTTGGGCTGTTTTCTCTGGCACATTAACAGGGAGCTGGATCAGAAGCTGAGCAGCTGAGATTGGAAGTGGTATAATGATATGGGATAAATGATACAGCTGAACCTGTTGTGCCACAGCACTAACCCTCAGAACCATTATTTCGGTCATATCTGTAAAGTCCCTCTCTTGCTTGGAAGAACACAGGTTCTGGAAAGAAACAGACATTCTTGGGGCTGCTGTTACTCCACCTGCCATGAAAGACATTACTGATTTCCTGCAGAGTGGGCCTCTTGACTTGTATCTCAGCAAATTAGTATTCTGACAGTTGGACATTGCAGTTGGACATTCATTAGACTATTAATGTTGGCAATTACCATCATGGCTGGTATGTTGGAGCTAAAATTGTTGATGGAATTTGATGGGCAAATCTCCAAAATGAGTAATAAACAATGAAATTAAGTTCTTATTAAGATTAAGAGGCCCATCTGACCTCTCTAGGAATGTCGTTTTAACTGCATTCTGAGTTACCAGTTGCCACTAAATTCATTAGCTAAATACTTGCAAGAATTCCCTCATTGTGTCTGCGTGCCGAAGGACGTAATATGTAGTAAAGTCGATTGGTAATGAATTTGGCTCTTTTTCCTTTTTCTGAGGACTTTATTTCAAGACACTGTTCCCTAAACAAACACTGCTAGGCATTTCTTCCTTATTCTTAAAATCTCAAAAAGTAATTGAGTTTGGTTTAAAAAAAATGCCTGACTCCTTCAAGTGAGCCTCCATTATGGAATATTTCAGCCAAGGAAGAAGATGAATTTGCTTTGCCCTTTTCCCTTTCATTTCCACAGCAATCTGATAAGTTTGGAAATGCAAATGTGAGAGTGCTTTGGAACGTTTATGAGAAAATGACATTATAGGTGAGTTTATTTTGGTGCAGAAAAGACTTGAAGTCCAACAGAGTTTTTTGGTAATACACGTTTCAAATGAACTTTGTGAAGAAGTTCCCTCCCTAGACATCCCCTCCCTGCATGCTGTCCAAAGGCCTTAGAAGTTATGTGTCTGGTCATTGCAACAGACCTGGCTGGAGGCTGTTTTTGCTGGGCCTTCAAGCCCTCTACAGAGTCTTCCATCGTCCTTCCAGAAAACAGAATCTGCTTGCCTTTCTCTTTATGTGTTAGAATGAAAGTCAGCAAGTGGGAAGGAAGTGATTTGAAGTGGAACTGCTTCTTTTACATCTCTTTCTTTCAACATTTCAGTGAATTATAAATTCTTTCAGCCCTTTTTCCCTTTATGCGAAAAGAATGAGAAGAAGGTGGTTGGTGAGCGGGAAGGGAAACCCAGCCAGTATTATGAGACTTCCCAGAATGTCTGAAAGCACAAGACACAGTAGCTACATGTCTTGCCTTCTGTATTTCTGATGATAGACAAAGAGAGATATGAGAAAAAGCATCCTCAGATGAGTGCCAAAAGTTGTTTGTAAGTAACCTCTTCACAGCATAAATGTGCTCTTCCAAGAGAACCCGGGCTGCTTACTAAGCGCTTATGGCATCTTACATTTAACTGAGAGTAGTTTTTCCTTCATGTTAGTATACAAGATTAATGCAACCTTATAAGATTTGGGTGATGAGTTACATTTGATTATATACAGCATTTATTACAGTGTTTCAGGCAAGGGCTTTCCCACACACCAGTGTGCCTGGTTGCTTCTGTCTTGAGCAAAAATTATTATGTGAACTTCACTTTTCAGGTAAATGTCACATTCGAAGGAGTTTTAGGAAGAGGCATTGTGACACAGCATGTTAAACAACTGCTTGAGACCCTGCATCTTACATTGGGTTTGAGAATTGGGTAATGGAAGTTTCCAGACCAATTTTCTGCTAATGTCTCTAGGGGCTAGTAAATGATGGCCTAATGCTTGGGTCCATACACCTATATGGGGGACCTAGACTTCCTGGCTCCCAGCTCTCATCTGGCTCATCCCCTGCTGTTTGAGGGCATCTTACGCAATAAACCAGCTGGTGAAAAAAGAAATCTTTCTTCTTCCCTCTCTCCCTTCTTTCCTATTTTCCTCTCTCTCTTTCCCTTTCAGTCTGCCTTTGAAATAAATAAATGAATCTTAAAGAAGTTTTACAATTCCCATGTGTCAATAAATAGTTGGGGTGTTCAGGATTGAAAAATAGAAAAGAAAGAATTCCTATCTGTTCTTGTATCAGTTTTGTATCCTCACTCATCAGGAGTGGCTTTTCATGCATGTGAGTTTTAGATCTTACACACATGATGGTCGTCAGACCAAACCAAAAGTACCAGATTAACTTTGAGAATGGCTTGAAGTGAGATGACAGGCAGCTGCTCTTTTGGATTGTTCTCAGATGAGTAGATGTTATAAAGCCATTCTTGGATCAAGGTAGTAAAAAGGGCAGAGTTCTTTTTTATGATGCTTAATAACTGGTTATTTGCTTCAGATGTATTCTGTCGTGTAAACATCAGTAAAGTTTTTTTTTAAGGGAAAAAAAGATCATATTTGAAAACAGAGTGATTGATGGAGCTGTAACACAACACAGAGAAAACTTAAAGAGGCAGTTAAGTCTTCCTGAGATTGCAGAAGATTCCAAAGGACAGGTAACCCTTGAGTTTGCTTATGCAGAGCCTCGTAGACAAAAGGAGTTAGCCAAGCAGAAAGCAAGGCAGCAGAACGTGGATTCCAAGCTGAGGGATGAAGACAGGATGCACAGACTTGAAGCACTCGTGTGTGGCAGTCATGATCTCACTTTCAGACATTTGTACGTGTGTTGCATCTGCATCTCCTGGAACCCATAAAGAGACTCATTGGGAATGTTGTCAGTCATGTAGATTGCCCCTGGGGGAATCTGAAACGGATACGCACAGAGGAACCACTTCCAGAAGACCTTTGCAAGAGTGGAGAAGGCCTTTGGACAGCATGCAGGGAGGGGATGTCTAGGGAGGGGACTTGCTGAGGGAAGTGACGCTGGGAAGGATCTCAGTGCCTAGACCCTTTAGAGACTGCTGCTTTTGTCTCCTGCTGTGAGCCCAGTCGGCCTCTGGTCCAAGGAAGCCTGATGGTCCTGGATCCTATGTGGGAACCTCACACTGAGGAGAGGAATCTTTTTAATTCAGGGTAGCCCCCTGGCTAGGGTTGGTCCAGGTTCTTGATCTTCATACCAGAAAAAAATTCAAAAAGGAGACACGGAGGTAAGCAGGCAAGCCAAGTTTATTTAAAGGCAGCAGGAAAATACACTGAGCAGAGAACACAGCCCACCTCAAGGGAAAGAGTGATGCTGTTCACCAGGCTGGATACCTTCCTTTCCCGATGTGTGGAGTGTGGAGTGGTGCCTGCGGCAGATCCCAATTGAATATTCAAAGGAGAAAGAGTAGGGGGCAGAGCTTGAGTACCACCTGTTTTCATGCCCCCTTGCTTTCAGAAATCTCCAAAGTGTGATACCAAGTGTGTATGAGTTACCGTGGACACCCACCCTGTGGCCATGTTGTTGAATTCTGGCCTGGATAGCTCTGGCAGCGCCATGGAAGAGGGTGGGGTTTGGGCAGAGCACATGGGGCTGTCGTGCAGGTGCTGTATTGCTTGAACATGGCAGGATTCCTCTACGATGCAGCACTGAGTGGTCCTGAGTGTGGCCGGCAGATACCTTGTAAGTGAGGATGTTGCCCTATGATTCACAATTTGAGTGGGCTCATCAGGAAACCGGTGCCTACAAGAACCAACTCAGTGTGATAATGGGACAGCATGTTCCTTCAAAGTGGCACAGCATAGGAACATTGGGGCTAAAATCAGTCATTTTGAGCTGACATGTGTTGTTTCACTGCATCACCCTGAAGATATTAGCTGGAAATACAAGGTTACATCCTAGACACAAAGTCATTGATTTTATTTCTGCCTCTCTGGATAACAGTTTTTCCAGTGATTTTTTTTTTTTTCTGGAGCAACTACTGGAACCGTTCTCTACCTATCTTCCCTTCCTACTCAAAATAGAAATTCTAAGAGACATTCATCACTTCTGGATGTTGCAGTTAAATTTGAAATTTGCTGTGTAATCATACCTCAGGTCATCTGTTAGCTTGCTTTCAGTTCTCTGCTGAAGAATATAGAATGAGCAGTCATTGTCCAGGTTTTAGGATGTATAAAGAAATTTTAAAATTCCATTTCCCATTAGTGTCAGCAACAAATCTTGGTGTGGGAGGAGAAGAACCTTGTGTTGCTTGTTTGAAGGATCGGCATTAATTCTAGCAATGATCTCTTTTCTTGTCCATTTGATGGCATCCAGAAAGCCAACTTCTAGAGACAGCACAGAAGGGTTAAGTATGTACTTGGTCACATAGCAAAACTAAAACTGACTTATGTTGAGATGCAAACTGACTGTAGATTAATGGGAAAGGGGCTCTGTTGAAGGGTTTTGCTGTGGCTGTGTCTTTGTGTTGGAGTCTATCCAGATTGGTTCAAAGTCATTTCTGCAAGCTCTTAGTGAATCTTGTCATTTTAAGAACAACATTTCGTAACTATTTCCGAAAGCTGAATCTTGAGTGTACATTGAGCATTCTTTTTCTTTAGATAAATAACTCATTGACAACATCATAAATATTTGTTAGGCATGTAGAATTCATTCTGTTTCATTGAATGGGAATCTTGACTTCCCTCCCAGTTTCCCTGCCCAATCCCTACCATCCAGCCTTGCTTGTCTTTATACTGCTTCAATGACCATGTTTTTAAAACAGACATCATTACTTGTATTTGAATATGCCACACTTCACGTTAAATAACACCCTTTGACCCATAACAGCTATATTCATGGAACAAAATTCTGGTAAAATCTGTTAAGTCATACAATAGGAGTTCATCTCATTTCACTGGATTTTTGTTCCACACAGAGGTCTGTAGTTTTGGTGCTTTGTAAATGCTGTTGTTTCATTCTTTTTTTACATTCCCATCATTTAAATTATCCCTTATATATCATGGTAAATAATTTTATGAAGGAAGAGAATAATTTCTAAAGTTTGTTGTCATGCAAATAAAATTGAGTTCAAATTCTGTTTACCTGTGCAGTCAGTAGAATCCAAACTAAAGTCAGAAGTGCTGTGCAGTTAAGTGGGTGTCCGTAATCATCTTTTCATTCAGTGGTGTGAGAATCACAGCAGAGGTTCAGTAGAGTAGCTCTGGTGTGCAAGTTGCCTCACCTACCATGGTGAGCCAGTAAAGAGACCTTCAAAGAGAAGTGAGTTAGGTTAAAATTCAATAATATGTGAGAAGAAAAAAGTCAACATGAAAATAAATACTAAAAATAAGAAATAATATGTAGTGAACATCACAGCCCAGCCAGTTCAGCTGTCTTTTGAAAGACCCATATCCCATATAGGAGAGCAATTTTGAGTCCTGGCTACTCTGCTTCCAGACTAGCTTCCTGCTAAGGTGCATGGGAAGACAGTGGATGAAGACCAAGTGGGAGACTTGGGGAGAGCTGCATGCTCCTGGCATTGTTTATGCACACAGTGGAATATTACTGAGCTGTGAAAAGGAATGAAATACCGATAATTGCCATATGATGAACCTCAAAAACATTCACTGTAAAAAATGCCATGTATCATTTAGTTTATATGAAATACAGGATAGATATATCTGTTGAGGCCAGTGGAAATTGGTAATTGCCAGGGATGAACGGGACCACTGGGAAAAGGAGCAGAGCAATGCTGCATCATGGGCAATGAGTTTTACTTTGGGGTAATGGAAATATGTTACAGCTAGATAGAGGTGGCAGTTGTCCAACATTATAAAGGTACTGAATGGCACTAAATTGTTCACTATCAAAGGGCTAATTTCATGTTTTATGTACTTGGTCTCAAGATAAAAACAAGGCAGTAATACAGATTCACAACGATAGTGATTGTCCTCAAAACTGCTTCACAATCAGATGCATGTAAACATTGCTCGTTACAATAACTGGTCAAGATTATGAGCGACTTGGAGTCCAAATGATCTGTATGTATCTCAAGTTCAACTTGTGTTCTGAGCATCAAGATAAGAAAATTAATTGATGTTTTCTGTTCTTTTAGGACTCTCAGCTTTTATCCTCTGGACTCACCAATCCAAGTAAGTAATGTTTTTCTGATATAGCTTCATGGAGGAGAAAGAGGAAGTCAGAGGGCACAGGAGGGAAGATGAGAGAAGAGTAGAGGCCATTCGGGTACTACTTAAAAGTACTACCCGAATGGATGAGAAAGCCTCACTCAAAGTGATTTTGCATGTTCACATTATTCAGGGAGTAGAGTGCAAAAAATGATGTCTCTAAAAGTGACCCTGGGGAAAAAAACAACATGTTTTATTGTAGATCCTAGCATGTAGAGAGGGAAAGTTTTTCTTAAAGCAGATAATGAGTTCTCTAAAAGAAAATGAGTAGGCAAAGTAAGAAAAACCTCCAGACAATGGCCTTAGAATCCTTCAAGAGAAGTTCCCTCTGGCTGGGCATCTATGTGCCCTCATTCAGAGACAAGGCTGAGTAGGTGAGCTTTGTGGTCAAAGAAAATGTTTTCATTCCATGAAATAGTAGTTGGCACTACTACTAATACTGTCTTGAACACTCGGAGGGCAATAACTGTCCTGCTCATTGTCCTAAAAAGCCCACTCACAAAGATTAGCTTTTGTTGATTGCATGAGCAGCCGGTAACCCAAGCACAGGCCTAGGCACTTACACACCGTTATGAGCCGTGAGATGGCTCTCTCCTCTGAGCATCTATGATGCAAAAAGTTTGGGGGAAGATGTCCGGACAAAGGCACTGGAAGGCCCAGAATGTTTATGCACAGCTGGAGGAAAGTCAGCGGAGGAGAGGAAGGCAGGAAGGTGCATTCACATCTTCATTATCCCTCCCTCTGTTATAATTTGCCATGTGCACAGCCGCCGAGGTGGAAGTAAAATACCAAGAGACATCACATAAGAAGAAAAAAATGTATGTAAATGTAGGACTACGAAAAGGAATCAGAAGGAATGCTCAGTTAACTCCAAGTGGCACGTGGGCATCTGCTCTATGTGCCTGAGACTAGAACATTCTGAATAGTTGTATTACATCCCTTACTTAGCTAAATGTTTGACCTGTTGGTTAGTATTAGAAAATGAAAGTTTACTGATTTTTGAGAAGCTTAAATATTAGATGATTTATGTCTACATTTCAGAAGTCCCACAAATGTATTTGTTCAGCTCACAGGCTGTGCTAATGTACTTTATCATTTGCTTTCAGAGTCCCCACTTAACTGTAGGCTGTCAACAGAGAACAGGTGTTTATTTAGCCTAGCAGTTAAAATGGCTACATCCCACATCAGGGTACCTACATTCAATGCCCACCTCCAGCTTCCTGCTGTTGTAGACCCCAAGGAGCAGTAAGAATGGCTCAAATAATTAGGTCCCTGCCACCCCCTTGGAGACCTTGTTGGAGGTTCCTCCTCTATGCTTCAGCTTGGTCCAGTCCTGGCTGATGTGGACTTTTGAGAAGTGAATCTGTGGTTGGGAGCTGTCTGTATGTGGTTTTGGGGCTGGAGCAGGGGAAGGGTGATGTGAGTGCAGGTGATGGTCTGTCTCTCTTTGTTTCTCTGCCTCTCAAACAGATAAGTAATGTTTGAAATGATATCAGAGGGGTGTCAGTCTGTGATAGCCGTAACCACGAGACCAAATGACATCAGCCAAACCAAGAAGTGGATAGACTCTTCAGAAAAAATAGTTCTGAGCAAGGGAAGTCATGACTCACAAAAAGCAGAAAAAGTCAAACTCAAGTGGTTTGAGCTCAAATGGTGCTGGGGTCGGCCCTGGGGAGGCCCAGGAGCAATCCCTTAGAGAACAGGTGCAGACTGCAGCAGGAATAGAAACACCTCAGCCAGTATTCCTCCTGTAACCCCATCACCCCCATCCTAGCTCAGAGTGTCCAGCTTGATTTTCCTCTCAAGAAACCTAAAGACAAAAGCACAGTAAAATTTACTCAACAATGAGCATTTGACCTTAGTTGGAAACAAATAGATAAGAGAGAAATAGAATGGAGTCTGTGATACTGCTGGATCTTAAAAACGGGCCTGGAGGCAAAGTGAAAACGCCATCACTTCACTCAGAGGAAGTTACAAATAGAAAACAAAACAGAATCTATGGAAACATACGATGACAAACATGAAATTCAGTTAGTAATTGAAACAATGGGAGTTAATGCTGTAATTGAATAAAGTATATTGCGAAGATGGGTTAAAAATAAATCTCCAGCTTGGTGCTGTGTATGATGATTAGTTGCAATAATTTTATTTGTTATATTCACAAAAACATGACATACATGTTAGCCTGTTATCAGTGTACATATTTAATGGAATATAGTGTGATATTTCAGGACACAAATGGCTAGAGGAAAAAGAATTAACTTCTCAAGGGGAAAATAGACATTAGACACTGTTGGTGGGGGATTTTGTGGCACTCACATCCCATATTGGGAAGCTGCTTTGATGCCCAACTTGTACAAATTCCAATCCAGGTTCCTGCTAATGTGTCTGGGAGCTAGTGAGTACTTGAGATAGTGCAAGTACTTAAGTTCTTGCCAGCCATATGGAAGACCCAGATGGAGTTTTTGGCTACTGGCTTCAGCCTGACACAACCCCAACTATTATGGTCATTGGGTGGAGCAGGGCAAACCATAAAAGGAAAATATTCTCTCTCCCTCCCTCTCTTCCTCCTTCCTATTTTCCCCTTCCTTTCCCTCCCTCCCTCCCTCTCTGTCTGTATATATATTTGAAAGGCAGAGTTAACAGGGAAAGAGAGGATGAGATAGATACAAATATTTATATAGAGATATCTATAGATATATATATGTCCATGTATACTTATGCCTGTATCGATATATCAGTATATGTATATATTGATATATCTCCATATGCATATCATATGTGTGCGTATATCCCTTTCTCTCTTTCCCTGTTAATTCTACTTTTCAAATAAATGGGTAAATGTATTCTTTTGAAAAGGTCTACATTCCTAAAGCAGTGTGCTTGCTATTTGATTAGGAGAAGAGAGTGTTTAGACGCCTTGTTTGCCTGAAGACCTCTTTCCTCTTACTTTCCATTCAGTATACCTATCCATTTTTAAGAGAGAGACCTGCAAGGTGTGTTGGAAAAATATCAGTGTACTAGAAAGGGGCATATACACACTTTTTGTTAAACAACATGATTTTTTTCCTTAAGATTTATTTATTTTTGAATTTTGAAATGCAAAATTGCAGAGAGGGAGAGACAAAGAAATCTTCCATGCACTGGTCCTCTCCCCAAATGGCTAAAATGCCCAGAGTTTGGTCCAGACTAAGTCAGGAACCCAGGTCTTGAATTAGTGCTCCAATCTGGGATTCCACCATCACAAATGATGGCTTAACTTGCTGGGTCAAAATGCCAGGCTTACCCAGCATGTTATTTTAAAAACATGAATTAAAAAAAAACACCACCAGATGCTATAGCCTCCTCCCCCCCAAAAAAGTACAACTAATACAAGAAAGAAAAAGCTTCAAAGTATAGCTAATGTTTTTCTAGGAAGACTTGAAATTTTTATACTAAAAGAATCCAAAAAGTTCATTGAAAATCAAAGTAAAAGATAAGTTTACTTGGCAGAAGACAAATACATGGGCTTAAAAATCTTTTTGCCATAAAATGAACTTATGTTTTAATTCTATTTTCCCATGAACTTTTGAAGTGCCCTTACATCAACTAAAAAGAACAAAGTGATAGAAAAAAAGTAGTTATACTATAAATGAGCATTAGAAAAATTAAAACATTAGCATAGTAATATACATATTAATAGAAGGCATGAGTAATAGCAATCTGGAATATACTGTTGGAAGCATTTTTTGTGAATATTAAGCAAAATGTTGATGATCAAAGATATTGAGAAAGATCAGTCAGGTAAGAAGACTGAAATGTAGCCACTAAGAATGCTGGCAAAAGAAAGCAGAGGAAATGTAAAAAAATCTAAATAGACTGCTAATGGAGAGGAGCAGTTCACAGTCAAGGACACTTACATGAAATGCAACAACCGACCATGAGCACACAGCAGAGCAGTCACTAGATAGGACAGTTATCAACCCCGTGTCAGCGTGGTAGAGAAAAGTATTGGAAATGTGGTAAAGAACAGTAAGATTTAAGAAAGTGATAAACAGAAGTTGCAGAAGTGAAAACAGAATAATAGATATTAGAATTTCCATTTCCACTTTTTAACAGCGCGTAACTGAGCATTACTGAATTGCGAAGATGAGTAAAAGAATATGTAGAATGTAGCCCTAGAGACACAAAAATGGAAAACAGGATATGGAAGTTATGAAGCACAGGGGATGACAGGCGGAAAAGGCTACTGGAATACCAGAAATGGGCAGGGAAGGAGAATTTTCCAGAATTTAAAGGCACTAAAGCACAGATTACAGAAAAGCAATGAATACTGAGCAGAATAAATGAGGAGAAATCCACAGAGACACATTTCAGTCAAGCTGCCAAACATCTAGATAAAGTAGACAGTCTTAAGGTAGCCTTTAGTATCTTCAAAACAGCAACAAAGTTTTAGCTGACTTCACTAAAGGCAACAGACAGTGAAATTACAGCTACACTAAGCTGAGAGAAAATTACTGTCAACTTAGATTTGTGTAGCTTGCAAAAAGTGTCTTAAGAATAAAGATATTCTGAAACAATAAAAAACCGGAAGACTTTGCTGCCAAGGCTCTGTGCCAAAGAAGAATGTACTTTGTTGAGAAGGAATGGGAGACACAAAAAAAGATTAACTAGCAAGATAAATATGGGGAAATTTGAATAATAATTGATCATATGGTGCAGGAATATTCATCTCTTGTGAAGTAAGAAAATTTGGCTGGGATATGTGGAAACAATAGAATAAAATAGGGAGAAGAAAAGCTAAGTCAAGATCTTCTAAGTTACTGTAATTACTCAGGAAAAATGTAAAAGTACTCACTTTGGACTTTGATAAGCAAGTGTAATATTTCGAATAACTACTAAACAATAGGAAAGAGCTGTCTAGAAACCAAATAAGGAATATATCCTACAAGCCACATTCAAAGGGGAAATATAAAATTATTATT